AAATATTTTAATTTTCAATTGAGGAAAATAATATAATAATTTGATGGAATGTTAATGAAAATAAAAGATAGAGAAGAGTAATAAATGTATTTTTTAGAATAGGAAAAGTGCGAAAGATAAATAAAATGTTGACGTAAAGAATTTTTACTTTTTAAATTTATAGATGCTCTTTGAATTGAAAAATATGCTCTTCAAAAATATAGTTTTTTGAAGATGCTATTGGCCTCGAGTTTGTTTCTAACTCAAACTTTGGAACTATTTATATCGGGTGTGCATGTATTTAAAGAAGAGTATATCCAAAAGCTTCTCTATTTACTAGCATTCTAAGAAGTGCACCTAGGCACGAAGCATGGACAACGCTTGTAATTATATTTGAGAAGTAAACAATGTCATAATAACAACTATTATCAACCAATTAACATATGACATGAAATAAATTAGATTTCAAAGTATTTAACCTAGAAATTCATCTACAAAAGCCCATGTTGTTTTAATTAAAAAAAAAAAGTACTCTATGCAAAACCCTTGATGAACTCCATTATACAGGTGGTAAGATATGGCAAATGTAGTAATTGCAACGGAGTTTAGCGTGAGATTTGATTGATGAAATAAAAATTGGTAGACATTTTCATAGGTCAAGCAAATGAAATGGAGATTAGGAAAGCTTCGGAAATGCTATGGTAAATTGAAAACGTCGAAGTACTACTTGTACCGTACATTCTCGCACAAGTTAACAGAGTTGGACCATTATGAATTTGGGCTTAAATTTCAGCAACCCAAATTGCTTCACAGTTGGGACCAACCAAAGAGAAATTTCATTTACTCAGGTATTTTATGTTTTTGAATGAAAAGAGAGAGATAGTATTTTGGGGGCTTCTTGCCCATTTGAGTATAATTTTAATGGGAGTTGTGAATCCGTTCATGTCACTGAGTGCAATTTAATAAGGTCAAGAGTATTCTGAGCATTAACAGCAAATATTTGACATTTTTCAAATAAATGTGAATATTAGATATTTTTCAACTAAAATTAATAAAGAGAATTTCAGCCACAATTTCCTCGTAAACCATCTCCATCAAATTTTTGTCACACCAGTAAATTCATGGATCCCATTTATGTGTTTCTAAAAAACCAGAAGGCATTTAGGCTAATGTCATTTTGTCGTAAGGAAGTTGATACTACATTTCTCGCATGATAGTTGCCAATATTATGGCTCATCATCTTCGTAGCTATGGCAATATTAATATGTAACTTGCGTGATCTTCATATTAAGATTGCTGAGGCCGACCCTCACCCTTGGCGAACCTATCACAGGTTCTAATGGAGATGACAAACTCTAGGTTTTTCGGGTGTTAGTGAAACCTCTTGCCTTGATTGCTTAATTTCTGAATTAGAGCAGCTTGGGCAGTTGGAACATGGATCCACATTTCTATTAGATAAGGAAAATTTTATCAATCTTTTACGATCACAGATGATCTAGGAAATAACAGCCTAAAAAGTAATTTTGTTTAATAAGTAAACAATTTCGTAATAACGACTATCATCAACCAATGTTTATGACACCTAATAAATTAGATTTCGAAGTATTTAACCTAGAAATTGTAGGAAAATATGATAAGCAGTGAATTAATACTAGACCAACACCGAATTTTTTAATTTGAATTATTGGTTTCAGAAACAGAA